TGCTGGGGGCTGGCCAATACAATATGACAAGCTCCAAATATGATATTGTCTTGATGAAACATCTCTGACCTGGAGAATGAAATCTGAAAGTAGCAGCCCAAGAGGGCAGTGCTATTAGCTCCCATCAGCCATCACAGCAGGGACTTGGGAACTTTGATCCTTCCTCCACAGAAAAGATGTGCGGTAAAGGCAAACACAACTGCTGGGGGCTGGCCAATACAATATGACAAGCTCCAAATATGATATTGTCTTGATGAAACATCTCTGACCTGGAGAATGAAATCTGAAAGTAGCAGCCCAAGAGGGCAGTGCTATTAGCTCCCATCAGCCATCACAGCAGGGACTTGGGAACTTTGATCCTTCCTCCACAGAAAAGATGTGCGGTAAAGGCAAACACAACCCATATCTCCATCAGGACAGTGGCCAGATGGAGCTGCTTTCTGTGAGAGGTTAAGCAAAATTGGTGTACACCTCATCTCCTCCCAGTGGAGCAATGATGCTGTACGTTAACTAGCTATTGAGAAAATTAAACATGAGTCTTCACTTATTATATTAGCAATGTCTGTTGCAAGATATGGGAATTAACCACTGGCAATACAGTAAAAACTTTGTTTACTGGTATGTTAGGGACCCAGGGGGTGCTGATTAATAAAACATTCTGATTAAATAAGAGATACTTACCAATGGAATACCAATTTTCAAAGAAACAGAACGCAATAAAATGAATAAACTATAACATACTATACAGACAGACGTTCTCCAATCCAGTAGTAATACTGCACTACACAGAGCGGATAATTTCTTGAAGCACGTAGGTGTGTACAGGTTACGTTTTCTGGGTAGTGCAGGGCATACATCTAGATTGCTAAAAATACACTGAACACTTAAAACGATACTAAACATAATTTAATCTATCTTTGATATTCAGAAAGGCACTTCAGGATCTTGCGGTGCCTCAGGGTCATCATTATCAAGTATCGTTGTAGATGCAGAAGGTGTAATGACTCTTATGACATACCCTGGAAGCTGCTTTTTTTAATAAATCCCTGATATCAGCCTGCTTACTTATCGTCTACCTCTTTTGCACATAAGTAGAGTACAGAATGTGCAACTGCACAATGTCCTGAGCAGTTTACTAGTCCCGATCAGAGCCATTCCATCCATAAGACTATTTAGGGTGGTTGCCCTAGGCACTACACTTTGGGGGACCCCATATTTCAGGAGATACAGGCCCTGGGCAGCACAGGGGTTGCTGACAGCACAATTGGCCCCGCTCTGCTGTCTGCTGGTGTCACTTGGGAGAGGAGGGCTTTCGGAACAGGGCAGAATGAGGGTCAGGGTAGAGTGGGAGCAAGGCAGGGGCAGAGCAGTGGCAGGAGAAGGCGGTGGGGGAGGGAGGCTGTGCCAGGCCCTGCACTACTGTAGAGCCCTGGTCCTGGTTAACAGACTGAAGATTTGCACTGGGAGATATCAGAAATACCAGTCAATAGAGCGTTCTGGTTAGAAATGTGCCAGATCACACAGTTTTTACTGTACATATAAACTGATTTTGCTGGGCTCCATGGCTCCCTCCTTTGCGTGTTCCACCAAAAGCTACCTGATATCATATATCTGTCTAAAGGCCCACTTTAAAGACCATCTTCCAGCCTGTAGACTCTTTGAGTCACAGAGGGTCTATATTTTGTTTTCCACAGTACGTCATTAGCAATCAGCAAACAAATAAGAGTAAAAAAGAAAGGTACAAAGAAGATAACCACAGAACTGGGATAGAATGAGGCAATAGCCCTGCCTCGCTCACGATACTTCCTCAGCCTCTGTGAAATACTTTGGTCATGGGAAGGGGAAATGGTCTGACTGGATCTGCTCCTTGCAGTCTTTGGGTTAACAGTTATACCACATTCCTGTAGCTCCTCTGCACAAACATCAAACCAAACACTGGCCACATATTTCCATTAACTCTTTATTGATATGGGGCCGGGTGCATAAAAAGGCATGTAGCTGACTCATCCTGGATGTGTTGTGGGCCTGTTGATTTTCAGAGACAGAATTAATAGAATCGCCCACGTTGTAGACTTTGCATTTCAATAGCACATTTAAAGCCAGACTGAACAGAGCACTAAGCAACAGATTGTGGAGAACAAACCCGAGTTACCTGGGAGTGACCTGGATGTGATCGAATAGGTCTGTCTAGCTCTAATCACTGTGTGCCAAACTCTGCTTGAGTGAGAACTGAAGCATCTGGCTCAGATGGCATGTATATCAAGGCACAAGAAATAGGCAATCGTAAATGAACTGTAACCATGGCGATGCCTAGCAGGGTATAGGGCCCAGGTGGAGGGTCTAGGAAACCCCCTGCTGCAGGCCCAGTCCCCACATGCCTCTGCTCCACCCCTCCCGACCACACTCTTTTCCCCAAGCCCCACTCCTGTTTGGCTCCTGTCCAACTGCCTTGCACCCTCTCCCGAGCAACACAAGCCAGGGAATAACTAGGGTGTCTGGTGTGAGACAGCAGCAGGGGTTAGGCTCCCCACACACTCTCCACAGCCTGCTCTGCTCTTCCAGATGCCCCCTCCCACCCTGCTGGGCTCCACTTCTCTGCAGTAGTGGGAAAGCAGGGTGTCCTGGGGTGGAGTGTAGGGATGTAATAGTATAGTCGATTAACCCATTAACCCATTAACCAATAAGCAAAAGCTTATAGGTTAATGCTACAGACTACATGCATTTCTCTCCCTCCCCCCGCATATGGGTAAAGAGGTCCCTGGCAACATGTCAGGAAAGTAACTGCTCAGTGATGCAAAGTTCCCCCACATCCCAAGGGGCTGAATACGTTGTACATGCAGTATTCATAGCCTAGTGGAATATTTTTAACTGAAACTATCTTCTAACTGTCCTTGCTTAATGTGAGATTTCCTACGAAGCAGTGAATTTATGAATGCCAACAGAGAGCTGAGAGGCCATTATTTATCATAATTTATAGCTGACGTCTTAAAAGCACCATTCTTCAAGTTCACAGGGAAGGGAAGTACTTGTAAATGATAATATTTATCCTGCTTCTATCTTATCAACCTCCATGTCTCAGTCTTGAGACATACCAAGAATTAACTTTCTCTCAGTAGCAATGTGTTGTCTATTGCTTTACATTTTGCTCTCTTGTCAAGTCTGAGCTCATTTGGTAGATCAGATTTATCTGGTGCACTTCAGGCTCTGACCACCCAAACCTGGACTAATCTCAACAAATGAAGAAGCTGTACATCCAGTGTACTAAGCTGTTGTGGAGGCACAGAAAATTATGCCTGCCCAAATTTCACCAATCGTGGTTTACTCTGAAATCCCCCACACCTTGGCTTTCAATGCCACTTAAGGAACCCATCTTTTGATCCATCCAAGCATAGGTCTAATCTAGCAGCTTTATTAAAGGATTCACTTTTGTTGCAAAATCACATCAACAACCTGTAATCAAAGTGTCATGTAAGAATTATGAGGTTTTCTGTTATAATAATAATAATCTTCCTTATGAAGCCTGACGCGAGGCTGTAGCATAGGTCTGAGAACTACAATACTGTTAAACTCCATGTAACTGCCCTTATTAGCATCAGGTAGGTTATAGCACCCCAAGAGTATGGCTGCCAAGAATGGAAACATAATGGGGCTGGAATGCATTACCTACAGCAGGTGATATTTCACTCAATTCTTTTAACACCACAAACTCATCAGCTCTCTCTGGCTCCTCGCGCCTCTCTCTCTCTTATTGTCACCTTAAGGGACACAGAAAAAAAAAACCCCTTCAGAAGCACAGACCATGCAAAATCCCACAGAACTCCAATTCTAGCCTCTTTTTTAGCAATTAAACTGAAATGGCTGGATAATGTTCAGCCTCATTAGAAATGGGGTTATTTCATATTATTTGTGTGGGTGTGTGATGAGGAGCCAAGCACTGAGTTCATGCTCTCCCTGACAGATCTCCTTGCACGAGTAAATCAAACAAGAATGGATGCTCTGCTTCCCAAAGCATTGACGTGGGGAATAGCAGAATAGCTCGTGTGGACACTTTGCTCTCTTCCCCACAATTCCTTTCCTATGGTGAAGATGGACACAAACCCCGCCTTTGAACTCACCAATATTACCAGGGTCTGAAAACAAGATGGAACCGGGAGAAACAGGAATCACATGACACATATTCAGGGCCAACTCAGAACTTCCTACCTGTGTTTTTCAGAGGGGGCTCCAATACTGGTTCACCCCTTGGAAGGAGTTGCCCAAGGGCAGCTCTCTCTAAAGTACAATCTGGTTCTACCTCTTTGCAGTTTGGCTCCTGCTCCGCCCCTACCATTTCCCTAGTCTAAACTACAGTGTCTTCGCTAAAATAACAGCTAAAAACCTTAGGAAAGCCAAGTCTCTCTCCCCACAGGGACATTAGCAAAGAAATGCAACAAGATAACTACTCAAGACACACAAGGACGTTCCAGGGTCAGATACATCATTATCAGAACTTTCTCTCTGGCTAACTAGACACCAGCACAGCGCTAACCCCCCTCTTTAATCGAAACACATAACAGCTTCCGAGGCAGTTTTTTCTGTTACAAGTGTTCTCACTTTCCTCACTTAGCATCTATGGGGCTCTGCATGTATGTGTGAGGTAATACCACCAAGAGCAGTAGGAGGGCTCTGG